TCTCCGGCTCTCCTTGTACCTGTAAAATAATTTGTTTGTGGGTTCAGGCAGAGACCCTCACACTGGGGTTGGTCACAAACAGAAACATTAAGTAGAAGTAGAAGTAAGTTCCAGTGCTGCTTGACTAATTCTGTTTACAATAAGAAAGTGACATTTTGCATTTGTTCGGTCAGTCATGAATCAATGATAGATCCTTGTTTCATCTATGTGTTGTTATTATCAAAACAGTCATGTTGAGATATAACTATCATATATACGGACGTCACTAAACTTGATTAATACAGACTGGCAAACACACATTGCATTATAAATTAGGCAATGCAAATATGTCATCTGGTACCTTCACTTCTTCCTCAATGTGTCTCTTGAGTTCTTCAATTTGCTGAGTGTAAGCCTGTTTGCCTCTGGTGAGCTGGGAGATAAGAGCTTCCTTCTCTTCAAGCTGGCGAGTAAACTCACCTGAAAGAAAACAGGGATAAGAATAAGATCTAGGTGGCTTCTCTCACACCTGAAATATGGTTGAATGTGCTTTAAATATGAAATAAAACAAACAATTTGAAATAATTGGACAACAAATATGGAAATAGGGGTGACTTTAAATGGGGCTATATGTAATGCATTACTACAGGGAACTTAAAAAAACATGTAAAATCTGACCTCAATAACTATGACTTTCATCACTTAATCTAAACATGAATAAATTAAATAATTACTGTACTTTTAACAATTACCATGTATCTATTTTGAAACATCAAAATAAGTGGTAACTAAACTTAAAAAGGTACTAATTATCATAGTAGGACACATTTCTCATATTTGAATACCCACCATTCTCTGTCTGAAGTCTTGCCCTCTGTGCACTCATGTCATTCAGCTGGCGAACGTTCTCATCATTTTTGGACTTGATTTCACTCAACTGGTCCTCAAGAGTTCTGCACATTTTCTCCAGATTGGCCTGTAATTGGCATGTAATTGATAATACTTAAATCCAGTGAACATGAAACTTACTGATCAATAATGCTGTACTTATTCTTTCTCTTTAATGATTAGGATAGCTGATGGACTCTCATTGTCATTTCCTCTGAAATATATTGCATACCTTTGCCTTGGCAACAGCCTCCATGTTGCTGGAGAGGTCATCAATCTCCATCTTGTACTCGCTCTTCTCCTTCTCCAGCTTCTGCTTGACCCGCTGGAGGTTGTCGATCTGCTCTCCCAGCTCTGCAACACTGTCAGCCTGCTTCTTGCGGAGAGCTGCTGCAGTTGCTTCATGCTGCAAAGTGGCCTCTTCCAGGTCACGACGCAGCTTCTGGAACTCAGCCTCCCGCTTCTTG